AGATGGTGATGTAACCAAAGGGAATCGGATGGCAGATAGTGCAGCTAAGCGTGCTGCTGAATCAGGAAGACAGGAATATGTGGGGTATATAGCTGCTCTTATACCAACTCCACTGTCTCAATGGACTCCAATTTATACAGCTCAAGAAGAGGAGTGGTTAAGGACTGAACCTGGAAAGTATTTGGAGAACAGTTAGAAGATGGAAGAATAGTTATTCCAGCATCACTAGCGGTAGAAATTGTCCAAAACTATCATAACGGGACACATTCTGGGAGAGACAGTACAGAAGAATCTCTCAGAAAACATTTCTACATACCAAGATTGTCCAATTTGACTCAGGCCATTGTACGTAGATGTGTAACGTGTGCTAAAAATAATGCAAGACAAGGACCAGTAAAGCCACCAGGAGTCCAGTTTATGGGGGGACTTCCCATGTCCGATTTACAAATTGACTATAAAGTGATGCCTAAATCGGGTGGACATCGCTACCTGCTGGTAGTGGTGTGCACCTATTCAGGCTGGGTAGAAGCATGTCCTACTCGTACAGAGAAAGCAGGAGAAGTCGCGAGATTCCTGCTACGAGAAATAATACCCCGATATGGACTACCCTGCTCTATAGGATCGGACAATGGTCCAGCTTTTGTTCATCAGTGCCTACAACAATTGACTCATATGCTTGGTATAAAGTGGAGGCTTCATACGGCATATAGACCCCAGAGTTCTGGTAAGGTAGAGAGAATGAATAGAACTATTAAGAATCAGTTGGCTAAAATGTGTCAGGAAACCCAACTTAAGTGGAACGTTCTCTTGCCCATAGCTCTATTGCGAATCCGTAGTACACCTACCAGAAGGATGGGCCTCTCTCCTTTTGAAATCATGTACGGGCGACCACCTCCCGTGCTTGGTAACTTAAGGGGGGATTTGAGTCAGTTGGGAGAAGGAATTACCCGGCAGCAGGTTGTAGAGTTGGGTAAGACTATGGAGGAGGTACAGAAATGGGTACAAGATAGATTACCTGTGAATATTTATCCCCCAATTCATAGTTACCACCCAGGCGACCAAGTGTGGATTAAAGAGTGGAATAATGTGCCGTTAGGGCCCAAGTGGAGAGGTCCTTATGTTGTTCTTCTGTCTACCCCTACAGCGATAAAAGTAGCCGAAGTGGCTCCGTGGATACATCACTCCAGGGTTAAACCAGCAGCAGCCGATTCCTGGCAAGTTACAGCAAATCCAGAGAATCCCTGCAAGATCCGGTTAAAACGCACGACTCAGTCGGAGTGACGAGGAACTTTGTGGATTACAAATTTTATTGTTTCAGAGACTTGGTAAGTGAGTGAGAAGGCCATAATAAAGCCTGTCCACTCACCAACGAGTGTATAAGTTAGGGAAAGTCTTGAGGGGACCCCTGTGAAGACGAGCAGAACTCCATTCCCTGCAGTCCTTACATCCTGGAAGCTGAGGTGCCTTCGCACGGACGAAGACTGAGGATGACGACGAAAGATGTATTTTTAATAATGTTTATTTATGTGTATTTTTATATTCAGGAAGGTAGAGGTACCAACACTCCTAGCTGTGAGGTATGCATTAAGACTACAAGAACAGGTAACCATATATCCCAGACCCTAATTTGGCATTCGCAATATGAGTGTAAAGGAGATGTATCAAGATGTAGATACTTAAATATAGAATATAGTGTGTGTCATTTAGGAGTAGGAGAACCTAAGTGCTTCAGTCCTGAGTATCAACCCCGTACAATTTGGTTGACTCTCAGAAATGGAGATTCTCAGGGGACCCTAATTAATAAGACGGTATTAAAATCCGTATATTCTTCAGGTGCTCTGCTATTTGATGCGTGTAAAGCAATATCAAGTGGTAGAAAGCCGTGGAATGTATGTGGGGATCTTAGATGGGAGAGGACGTATGGGTCTAACGATAAATATATTTGTCCCAGTAGTAAAAATAAATATGTAAGTCCAAGATGCCCAAATAGAGATTATAACTTCTGCCCATATTGGTCTTGTGTGGGGTGGGCGACTTGGGGACAGACAGCAGACAAGGACATGATTGTGACTAAGTTGCCTACTGATCCATATTGTAAGTCTATGGAATGCAATCCATATATACTTATAAATAACCCTGACAAGTTCTTAGATAAATATGGTAATTTATTTGGGTTTCAAATATATGGGACGGGGTTAGACCCTGGGACAATATTGTTTATAGGGATAGAGACTGATACGGTAACCTCCCAAACTCACCAAGTATACCATTCCTTTTATAAGAGATGAGCATAGATAATAAGATCCCCCATAATGCTAAAAACTTGTTTATTGATTTAGCCGAGAGTATTGCCGGTAGTCTTAATGTTACCAACTGCTATGTGTGTGGAGGTACTAACATGGGAGACCAATGGCCTTGGGAAGCAAAGGAGGTAATGTCCGGTTCTGAGGCAGTTGACCAATTAATATCTACACAAGCCGACTATCATATGAGTGTTAGAGGTAAATCTGAGTGGAGATTGAAGACCTCCATCATAGGTTATGTTTGCATAGCGAGGAAAGGAATGATGTATAATACTTCTGTAGGAGAATTAACTTGTCTAGGGCAAAAAGCTTATGATGATGATACAAAGAATACAACTTGGTGGTCGGCTTCAAATGTCTCAGAACCATCTAACCCGTTTGCAAGATATGCCAATTTAAAGGACGTATGGTTTGATCTATCCATCACATCTAACTGGAGAGCCCCAGCGAATTTGTACTGGATCTGTGGTAAGAAGGCCTATTCGGAGTTACCACAGGACTGGGAAGGGGCATGTGTGTTGGGTATGTTAAAACCATCCTTCTTCTTGTTGCCTATTGAAACAGGTGAGACTTTAGGTGTTAAAGTGTATGATGTGAATCATAGGAAGAAAAGGGGACCCATAGAGATAGGTGCCTGGGAAGATAATGAATGGCCTCCCCAGCGTATTATAGACTATTATGGGCCAGCCACGTGGGCAGAGGATGGTACCTTTGGTTATAGAACCCCTATTTATATGCTCAATCGCATTATAAGGTTACAGGCGGTGGTTGAGATCATTACTAACGAGACATCACAAGCGCTCAATCTTCTAGCGAAGCATAATACCAGGATGAGGACAGCAGTTTACCAAAATAGATTAGCCTTGGATTATCTTTTGGCAGTAGAGGGAGGTGTATGTGGGAAGTTTAACCTGAGCAATTGCTGTCTTCAAATAGATGACGAAGGGCAAGCAATAGCTGAGCTTACTAGCCATATGGTTAAACTAGCGCATGTGCCTACTCAGGTATGGAAAGGGTACAATCCAAGTAGTTGGTTTGGTAGCTGGTATGAGTGGTTTGGAGGGCTTAAGGCAGTGGTAGGTGGAGTCCTACTGATTTTAATGTTGTGTCTACTCCTGCCGTGTCTTATACCCTTAGTAGTTAGGTCTGTGCAAAGCCTGATAGAAAATATAGCAGAGAGGAAGGCTGCTGCACAGATAATGGCAATTTATAAATATAAGGCTCTAGATCAGGGAGAACCAATGCAGGAAGACGAGTGTTGAAGATTCACATCATAGGATAAGTCTGGTCTGGTTCAAAGGTAACTTGTGGTGTATGCAAACCAAGGTTAAGTGATGCCTCAAGTAATTGTAAAATATCAAGAGGCATCAAAGGGGGGAATGTGGTGGAATCTCGGTAAAAATAAATTTAGTAGGCCGAGATTACCACGTGGCATGTGTACGTGCATATGCTGACGTATCGATCAGTTGGTTGCACGAGGCAAGATACGATCAGTAGTGTACGGAGCATGTGCAAGAATACAGGATGTAGTATTCCCCTCCTCCATTGTGCTGGACAAGCCATGCGGTCAAGCAGGAAGTTAATTCTTATTTGTAATGATTGGTCAAGAGAATGTGCGGGTGGAGCTTAATATGGGAGGAGTTATGTGCCTATATAGGGAGCCTGCACTATTGTTCAGGGCTCAGAACTTGCTGTATTTTTGGTGACATTAGTCCCTCTGAGTCCCGATCGGTGATCCAATAAAGAATCTCTTCCTTCCTGAAGAAACCTGTGTCCATCTCTCTGTGCTTTGCTTCCGTCAGTTTCTCCGGTATCAAATTCTCATACCGGGAGTCAAACCCGGGCCGCCTGGGTGAAAGCCAGGAATCGTAACCGCTAGACCATATGGGAATCTCTGCAGCTATAGTTGTTTTGGTGACTATAGTTTCCCTTTAAATTTTAAATTTTCACTTTACTAAATAAACCAGAGAGATTTTTTTCCCATTTTGATCTTACATTTTAATTCACCTGCAATTCTCACTTTAGTGAATAACCCTGTTATTAGATAGTAATAGAGGAACCGGTGAATTTGGGCTAAAAATAGGGACTTTCCCTCTTAAAGTAGGACACTTGGGAGGTATGCAGTGATTTCTACAAAGCAAATTCATTAGTTTTTCAAGGCAATTTATTTTGATATAAACCAGTCACATTGTGGGCTATAGCCCTAAGGAAACGTTTGCAGTGACCGGTGGGTGCTCACAGTGTGCTCGCTCACCGCCTGAGTTACAGGCCGGGCAGTTGCTAAGCAACCGCCATGTGACTGCTTCGCCTGCCCGGGCCTGCACAGCCGGTGACGCGTTTCCGGTTCCGCCGTACTCCCCGCCCGCCGGAGTCACCGGAAGCGGAGGGAGCCGGGCGGACAAGGACCGGAGAGCCGGTGACAGTGACGGGAATCCAGCGGAGCCGCTCTCTGCCTTCGTGCTGCCTTCATTTCCTGTCACAGCCGCCGCCACCTCGTGTCTCCCCGGCCGCCCGACCCCCCCCGGTCACAGCCCACCGGCCAGCCGAGCTCGGTGTCTCCCCCTCACCCGCCGGCACCCGCTCCCTGTCCCGTGGGCAGCCAGGCCCCGTGTCCGCCTTCATTGTCTCCTTCATAGTCCGTGTCTCCGCCAGGTGTCACACCCCCTCCATCCCCCCCCGCCCCCTCCTCCCCCCGATACCGACATGGCCAAGAACACCCTCTCCTCGCGGTTCCGGAAGGTGGACATTGATGAATACGACGAGAATAAGTTTGTGGACGACCAGCTGCAGGAGGAGCCGGCGGAGCCCCAGGGGCCGGACGAGGGAGAGGTGGACAGTCTGATCAGACAATATCCTTTTTGGTGGATCCATTGAGCAGATCATGGGATTTATTAATGTCATTATCGATGGGGTTTTTCCCTAGAGGGGGGTAACTGTTTGTTAAATAATGGAATAGTAAGCAGTCAGATAGAGTAACCAAAATAAATCTACATTCAAATCAGCTAACTGTGACACATGGGAAAATGGAGGTTTATTTCCTTTTGGGGAGGGTGGGGGTTAAAAGTGGTACACCAAGCAAAAATGTGAGCCATTAATCATAAACCTACTTATACTGCAGGTTACCATGGCGAATGGTAACGAATGGGTGGGTGTGTGTAGGAGATACAGTAAGAAGGAGTCACAGGTAAAATGAATCAGCAGGTTGACCTGGTTTTAGTGTTAATGATTTTTGAACTGAATGGCAGTGGTGGGTATACCTGGCGTTAGGTGAACATTACTGGTCACAAAGCTAACCAACCATAACCAATGCTCTACAATAAAAACCTAGAACATTTAGACAAATCCAAGACTGTAAGAAGGAGAGAGGTAAAGACTTGCAGCAGAATACACAAATATGAATATAATCCTGCTGAAAATATTGACACACCCCACTTAATTGTTATAATTAAAGTTCAATACGTTTTGCTATCCTTTATGGTGGGGTTGACTGTTCTTTGCCAAGCAAGGTTTACAAATGGCTTGAATGCTTGTTAAAGTAGTTCAACTAAAGAAGTCCGCATGATCTCTTATAGTAATTGTGAGACAAAATTATTTTTACATTTATAGGGCATGCTGGGAGAAAAAGAAACTCAGATTTTCACAATGAGTACCACAGGCTGCCACTGAGATAGGAGTGACTTCTAAAAGTAAAGGCCATTGCCCACCACACCCAGGTTTTGTTTGACTTCTAATGGTTGTAAAATTGACTGTCTTGTTCTTAGTCATGATAACTGCATTCCTTCTAGATTAATAATACATCATTGACTTGCATACTATGGTATTGTAAAAACTGTGTATTTCCTGTACACACACATTGATTTTTCTTATAACTCATTTTGGTTTTTATAGTTTGAATTGTTGAAATTTCAAAGTTAATTTCATATAAACTAAAATAAACCAGCAAAATTCACTGTTCCAATCCACACTGTAGTGAAACATTATTTGTTTGCAGTGTGTATTTTTAAAGGGTAGTGCTACAACCATTGCAAAAATGCATTCTTAGATATCCCATTATGACACTGGTATATTAAACCCTTAGGGACAATTTCCATTTATTTTGTTGTACTTTCTTTCTTTGATATGCATTTAGAAATATACTAGTTTCCAGTTTGAGTATTACTTATTGGTGATTAGATTTGCATAAGTTATAGGCAGTAAAATATAAATATATTCTCATCTTATACATTAGTGTATGTGATCCCACAGGTGCCAGTGACAAGTAATGTAAATCCTGGGTTAGGTCCTGAAAAATAAGTCTTATCATAAACAAAAAGGGAAAAATAAACACTGAAGTTGCACTGTCCTTCTGCCAGTCACATTGCTACGGGTTAGTGTTAACATAGCCTGGTAAAAACTTCAATATTTTAAAACCTGCAAAATTAATAAGGTATTATAATAAGCATTCCATTAGTTTTGACACTAGTAAATGTAAGATTTTTATTCTTTCTGTCTTTCCGGGGGGGGGGTGGGGCAGGGGAGAGACCAAAAAAAGTGCTGCAATTGATATCCGTTTTGTTGTATTGCATATGCTATAGCAGTCTCATTCATTTGTATAGGGGAAGTGTTGCATGTGAGTTTATGCATACATGTCACATGTACCAGTTCGTCTCCAGTAAGTCAGTGGGAGTTCAGGAATTGCTTGTGAATACTACGCTAGACTTTTTATCTAATCAAAGCCACATCTGTGCACAAAATTACCAAAGGAAGGAGAGACATACACCTTAAACAATTGCTTCTGGACACCCCCCCAACAATTTTATATAGGATAAAAACATACACTTACTGAAATGGTTGATGGGAAAAGATACGAGTGGTTATGTGTACTGTTGTCTACACCCAAATGATTGCATGGCATTTGTGGTTGTCCCTGGCTGCTGCAGTAGCCATGTTTATAGTTTTAGGCTTATGGTACCTCTGCACCAATAATGTGGTGGATTTATAGTGTTACGCAACTTTCTGTCAATTACATTTCTAAGCTGTTTTAACCAGCACATAGTTCTTGTCTGTCGAAAGTGAGTTTAATGCATTATAAACATTAAATACAAAATAAATTCCACCAGGATATAGTAAGAATACAAACGTGTATTCCTGACATTATAGTGTTAAACACTATTTAGGTGGCCGTGCCCCCTTAAATAGGCTTAAATCTTTGTGTGGGTGCGCTGGCTCCGCCCCCAATCCACCTTCTCAGCCAATCCAATCCTGTCCTAGAAATTTTGATGTGGTACTTGTCAACCCTTTAGCTAGACCGGCCAGCTGGGCAAACAATGGAGGTAGTCGGCTGGCTGCCCTTGGGAGCATGGGGGCGGCCAGCTTAGGGGCATTGTAGCTGGTCCCCCGCCCTGGGGAGCATCAAGGTGGTTGGGTGAGGCAGTGTGCAGGGGAGCAATAATCTTTCTGCAGCTCCTGTCTGCTCCCTTTATAGTGATGCCAGGAGTTGGAGTATGATGTCATTCTGGCCCCCTGCATCAATGCAGAGAGGAGCTGCAGGTAAATTACTGCTAATTCAGCATGCAGGAAAAGAGAGCAGCCCCACTGGACCCCAGGGAAAGATCCAAAGGTAGGGAGGCTGGGTGGATTAAAAATGTAAATTTGTTAGTGTAAGAAAATGTTTTGTATGTCACTGTGAGTGTGTCTCTGTCAGTGTTTGTGTCACAGTGACTCTATAGTGACCATCTAAGTCATTTTTTCACAGATTGGTTACGTTGCCTTTGAGACCCTATGGTAGCCCAAGGATGAAAATTACCTCTATCATGGCATACCACTTGCAATAGGAGACAACCCAAGGTATTGCAAATGGGGTATGTCCAGTCTTTTTTAGTAGCCACTTAGTCACAAACACTGGCCAAAATTTGCTTTTTTTTCTTTTTCTTTTTTTTGCATTTTTCACACACAAACAAATACTAACGCTAACTTTGGCCAGTGTTTGTGACCAAATGGCTACTAAAAAAGACTGGACATACCCCATTTGCAATACCTTGGGTTGTCTACTATTGCAAATGTTATGCCATTATGGGTGTAAATTTCATTCCTGGGCTACTATACAGTCTCTCAAAGGCAATGTAACCAATCTGGCGAATTTCAATTTCAAATGTAACACGCTATATTTGACCCTGTAACTTCCCAAAACACCATAAAACCTGTACATAGGGGGTATTGTTTTACACGTGAGACATTGCTGAATACAAATATTTTATTGCAGTAAAAGCAAACAGTATTATGACATTGACAGTTAAAATGTCATGTAGAACTAAAATAACTATTTCTTATTTTCTCCCATTTTTTTTCATATTAAATTCTGTTTCATAGCTAAATATTTGATATTAAATGTAAGCCCTGTTTCCCCTGAATAAAATGATATATAATAAGGGTGGGTGCATTTAATATGAAAGAGGTGAATTACGGTTGGACAGACATGTAGCGCAAATGCCAGGTTTTGTTTACGTTTTGTTCACAACGTGTACATTTGGCTCAGTCCTTAAGGGGTTAAAGTAAAGCAAACCACCTAAGAATTGTACTGCAGTTTGTCGGTAAGGAAATTTTTTTTATTTTTATTTTATTTTTTAAGGCACTTTTTGTGTTCGACAAAAAAAGTGTTAGACTTCACGTTTTGATTGTTGATAACCATTGTTGGACTTATATTATGTCTTGTTTTCCCTCAAACGATTAAGTAGAACACATATATATGTGTATATATGTATATACCTTTTGTTTATATATATATATTTTTTTTAAATGTTCACTGTGGGGTTTTAAAACTTTTTTTTTATTCCATCTATTTTGCTGCCAGGTATCGCTGGCCTTCATGGCATTTGATTTTGTGATGCTAAATGAGGTTGATGCGTTGACCTCAGAAGTGCCGGTTATATAGACATGTTTATTTTGTATTGTCATTTTTACATACAGATTCGTCCCTCTGTTCCACTGTTTTGTTTGCACGCCTGACACGCTTTCAATCTGCATGTTAGAAGAACGTGAAATTCTATTAAACATGCTCTAGTTTATGCATACCTGCTGTGAGATTGAAAGTTTGTTTCAAATTCCCTATTTTAGAAATGCATTAGCTGCTGCTCTAAATATAGGATTGCGACTGTACTCCCAGTTTGAAGTGACATTTCTGTTCCATGAGAAGTATTAAGTCTGCCATGTATTCTTTATATGGTTGCAGCTTATATGTGGTGATTTGAACTAGAGTAAACTAGTTCATTTCTGGTTGCATCCTTATAGAAAAGCAATGGCTAAATTTTTTTAAAAAATTGTGTTCCTCACATGCATTCTAGTATCTTAGTAAAAAATAAGTAACTTTTGCTTTAGCCTATGATTGTGGTATTTTCCAGCCCCAAATGCAAGACACCTATTTTAATACTTTTAGTGATACATTTTCTTGAACAGTTGAATCCAAAGGGTGCCTCCAGCACCGATCACCAAGTCCCTCAGACTGCATCCTGCTTCATAATCTGTTAGGAATGGGGAGCTTCTGATTGGCTTAGTGTCAGCCGACGCCTCTAGACAATCAGTGGCGCCGCTGCCTAGTGGCACTCCACGCTTCCTGTAACTCAGTTTCTAAAGCCACCTGGGGTACCTGGAGATTGATGCTGGAGGCAAACTTTTGGGGTAAACTATTCTAGAACTGTTTAACCCTTTAAGGTAAGAGTGCACCCGGGGTTGCGTTCGTGGACCCTAACTTAATTTATATGAAACTCTTATGGTGACCAAAGTGTTTCTTTTTATAAAGAGTGAATTGTATAAAAAGTGAAATGGAGAAATGTCTGCTTTGGCGGAAGCAAAATTTGCAGTGCATGTACCATGAGTATTGTAAAACGAACATGCACGTCTTACAGTGAAGCATTTATGCAGTTGTGGTTGTATTATATGACTGGGTTAGTTTGCAGCTACTAAAATGACATGTATCTTAGAGTACTTGCTGTGAATGAAAATGGGGGGGAACCGCAGTGAACCCCATTAAGAAGAATAAGAATTCAGACAATTGGTAAACTGTTTCTCTACTTATGTTGGTGTGGTATACCAGGGCAGTCCCGGTACAATAACCACTACAGTACAATCCTCCTAGCATATGTTGTGCGAGGATCTCAGTGTCACTGCAGTGATATGTGACTGATGGGAGTTACATTTCCAGTCCTCAAACATGATTCTTTTGTGTCATCACATGAGTTGAAAAATCACTTCTCTGGAAATTACTCCTTGGAATAAATCCATGAAAGTCACTTAAAACAAGTTAACCCGCTTCATGTGATTTTTAGTTTTACTTTTAAATGTATATTAAAGGAACCCTATAGTGTCAGGAATACAACATGTGTTCCTGACACTATAGTTATAAAAGTGCTGTTTAGGTGTCTGGTCCCCTTTGCCTACCTTTTTAAAAAGTAATTTACTCACCTTATAGCTAGTGCCTCACTGGTCTCATTGCAGCTGGCTCTGCCCCGCTCTGCCTCCTTGGCTGAGAATATCAAATTTAACGATTTCGGCCAACTCCACCCTGCGCCAGTCAGCATCTCCTCACAGAGCTGTGTGGAGATGCTGAACGACCGCGCTGCACTGACCAGGAAGCACCTCTTGTGCTGTCTGAGTGAATGCTAGTAGAGGTGTTCTCTGAAAAGGCAGTGTTTACATTAAAAAGCCTGCAGGGACAGGATATTGACACCAGAACAAGTACATTAAGCTGAAGTTGAAATTGCAATACAGTTCAGTCCAAGCCCTGCCAGGTTACACATTGCATTAGAGAAGGAGAAAAAGGAACGCAATATATTTATCACTCTTCCCGCCAGTAAAGTGTTCTGTTTAAATGTCTGGTTTTTGTTTTTTAATGGATATTTATGTGAAAAATTTCATAATTTTAGGTTAAGAAAAGAGGTCACATTTTAGAACAATGTAATAAAAACAGATTAGAGGTCAAACTTTTTCCCACCACCTTTCTTTATGCTGACTGTATTTTTAAAGGATCACTGTAGTGTCAGGAAAACAAATCAGTTTTCCCGACACTATAGTACCCTGAGGGTGCCCCCACCCTCAGGGTCCCCCTCCCGTGGTACTTGCCTTATTCCACCGCGGGGCTCCTTTACCTCTCCTCCCCCGCCGACGTCAGCGGAGCGGAATGTGCATGCGCGGCAGTGCCGCGTGCGCATTCAAAATGTCCATAGGAAAGCATTTCTCAATGCTTTCCTAGGGACTCTCTGCGTGATGGAGGCATATGCCTCCAACATAGCAGATGCTCCTCTAGTGGCTGTCTGGAAGACAGCCACTAGAGGCTGGCTTAACCCCAAATGTAAACATAGCAGTTTCATAGAAACTGCTATGTTTGCATCTGAAGGGTTAAAAACTGAGGGGACCTGGCACCCAGACCACTTCATTGAGCTGAAGTGGTCTGGGTGACTATAGTGTCCCTTTAAGAACTCATAAATATATTCAATATAAGGGATGTTATTTTGCAGGGTTTTTTTAAATTTATTTTTTATTTAATAGAAAATTCTGCTAAGTTACTGTTCCCCTTTAATTTTGTGTGTGTAAATAGTCGTGTTACGTATTTGGGTTAAATAGAAAGATGGATGATTGCAGTTAGAGCCTTGCAAGCCTCCATTTACAGGAAGTCACTAGAGGCCTATAAAGTGCTCATGTATTTGTAGTTTTACCTGTGGGGTTGGAGATGGAGTTGCATGAAAGAGACCACCGGAGTTTACTAGGGCAAGCAACCTTTCAACTTCAAGCAGCTACTGATTTGAAGAATAGGAAAAGATCAGTCCACTTTGATTTAAACAGTATTCCCTCCTTCCTGTTAACATTAACCCTTTTCTCACAGCTTCATTATAAAGAACTGCTTTGTAATTTGTATTGGGGGACGGGGTGTAACGTGTTTGTGCGTTTAATTGACCATAAATGTAGATAATATATATTATATTTAGACAAATCAAAGTAGGTCTATATAAAACAAAATACAATTTACTTTCCTCCAATGTTTTGGTGGCTTTTTTGTCTCCTGGTTTCCTATTTTTCATATCTCTGTATCTTTGTTCAGATTTGATGGAATCCTGTAATGAAGCAGTGCTCACACAATAAAATCAGACATTTGCGCTTATCATGTTTGCAATATATTAAGTAGATACTTTTGGAGACTCTTTGGAGCATTTATCTCCTTGTCATTAATAGGATTTGCTGTTTAGCGGGTGCACAGGTGTTAAGAATGCTTGCTTGGCCATCATGGGTAATAGAAGAGGATGCGTGTTAGTGTTAGAAATACTGGTTTGTACTCCTAATACGAGTGTTCCTTGTGTAATATGGATACACATACAGCACTCTTGTATAGCTGTGTAGATACTTGATGAATGATTTGGCATCATTTGCCGTTAGAAATCTGTCCTCTTCGATGCTTATCACACTGTTTGTTAATGAATAGTTGTTTTTTTTATAATCTCCTGACAATGAATTTCTTATGTATGTTGGCAGTCAGTGAGAAACTGATTAGTGATTTCTGACCTAATTTTTAACGCTCTTGCTGCTTTCTGTTTAACCCCCTTTGCACGTTGTTGAACTATAGTTTGGGTTTCTCACCTCTATTAGGTTTTGGTTTATTTTTTGTAAAAATTTTTTCCACTGTTATACTTGATACACTTTCAAACTGCAAGGCTACATGTGCAATTCCTGGAAGAGTCAACTGTATGTGTGCATGTGCTAAATATTCAAAATTGCAAACTTTGTCAAGAGCTCAGCTGGAGAAATGGGTTGAGTTGTAGAACTTTTTCCAGCTTGGCTAAAATTTGCTGACTGCCAGTGGTTCTTGTGTTTTTTTTTCTACATTTAAAAAAAAAAAAAAATTACTTCAATTTTTATATAATGCATTCTTACGAGGCTGTGGAATTCTTCAATAGGTTACAGCTGTAGCCCAATCTACTTGTCCTGACACAAAATAGTTAAAATTACAAATATTGTGGCCTCCTGCAAAGAGCCCTTGACATTGCTATTGGCTAAACCTTTTCACAAATTAAATCTTAATGGATAATTCTCTAACTTTGCTACATTTACAACATGGCTAGTTTGCCATTTTTGTTTATTTTTTTTGCAAATTATTCTGAATGTCTCACCCTCTGCACTCTCATAGTCCCTTTGTCAGTGTGAGAGATTTAGTCCCTTCTTGTCAGCAGAGCTCAATCATGGTCTAATCAAATGAAGAATTTCAATGCACAATTTGCTCTGCTCCGATTACATGCACATGCTCTAATGGAGAGACGGAAGGGGAGGAGTTTTAAAATCAAAGAACAGGCACTGCAGGGGGGTGGTCTTGGACCGCTTGGCTGGAGGGAAGAGCAAGCAATCCTGTGCAGGCGCACTGTCTGCAAGGGAGAATCTCCTGCCAGCTTTTACACGCTGCCTAAATCACGTAAGCCAGGGGTGCAACTATCCTGGGGCACAAAAGTTCAAATACAGACTCCTACCACCATGACCTAAAGCAGAAGTGGTTTTGGTGGTTTGAGTAACCACTTAAGTGCACCTATAAATATTATTTTATGTCCCTTTTATAAAGGCTTTTGTTTGATACCCTATATTTGTACATAACACTATGTTAAATTTAAGTACAATATTTTTTTTTAAAACCACATCTAATTAATACACAATTGCAACTACTAAAATAAACTAACTCAAAATAGATTAACAAATTTTTACACATCTCGTCTTTCAGTCTGAGTTTAATAATAATGGGCCTAGCTGACACTGTAGCCACTGAAGCTCAGACTCACCTTGGCTGAGCACAATACTAGCCATGTTGCTTTAAAAGGGCTATGTGCAGTACTCAATTTAAATGCTGCACACAACTATTCTGTCAGTATTGGTAAAGCAGTTGGGGACTCTCTGGTATCAAATGGTATCTCGGACTGTCTAATACCAGCAGGGTTTTAGCCCTGCTGGTAGTTTTAACGCATTACGATCAAAGTAGGACATTCCGTACTAACATATAGGACCTTTCGAAAGAACATTATAATCCTTAAAGGGACACTCCAGTGCCAAGAAAACAATCCAGTTCCCCATCCCAAGTTGCTGTAGGGGTTAAAACCCCTTTAGTGACTTACCTTTATCCAGCGCCGCTATCCCTCGGCGCTGGTTCAGGGTCCGCCCACGCTCCTCCCCCGCCAATGTCATCTGGCGGGGGAGACCTAATGCTGCGCACGTTCATTAGACCTCCCCATAGGAAAGCATTGAAAAATGCTTTCAATGCTTGTGGCGGAACCAGCCTCGCCACTGAGCATTGGAGAAGACTGATTGCCAGCCTCCTGCGATGTGACTATAGCCCCTGGGATGTATTGCCTGCTTCCCTATACTGCTGAGGATTGCTACCAACTAGGTGGATTTGGCTATGGAGCTTGTGTAGTGCCCTCTGTTGGTAGCAACAGTAATATGCACTACCTGAATAGCAAGACTGGTAATTTGCATATTCGGGTAGATTTGCATATCGCTAATTCTGCATGCAGGAGAGACATTTTGTGTTAATTATGGTCTTCCCCACCCATTTATAAATATGTAATTATGTTATAATAAGTCACTGTATGTTGCCTGCTATGATTTGATTGTTTGTAATTTTGTTGAGCTTTCACAGCAATGTTAATGTAATGACCATATGGGCTAGTCCCAAGTAAAATGTTTTAGACAGTTCTACTTCATCCTCAATTTGGAGTCCTGTCTCTTATTGGGGGAATCTGCTACAAGGGATTGCTATGCTCTGCATATTCCATTGCTATAATTACTCCTAAGCTCTTTTAAGATCTTGTTCCTGCTTCGCTCCGAAGGAAGAGAGGTTAGGCCTGTGGTGGTTGTGGTGTCGGCTAGAGTGCTTGAAATCCTCAAGAAGCGCTAGGAGCATCTTTCAATGGAGGTACCCAGTCGGGGTGCCAGGTGATCTGTTACAATGCTTTCCTATGGGAATTTCAGTGACGCTATAGCACAGAAAATCGGTGCTATAAACCCGGAAGTGCCCTCTAGTGGCTGTGTAGTAGAGGAGGAGTTAACCCTGCAATGTAAATATTGCAGTTTATGAAAACTGCAATATTTACAGTTGCAGGGTTACGGGTAGTGGGAGTTGGCACCCAGACCACTCCAATTGGCAGAAATGGTCTGGTTGCCTGGAGTGTCCCTTTAAGGGATGATGAATATTAAAATATAGACAGCAGAGAATCTAAGTTGTGTTAAACTACCAGAAAGTGAGATAATATTCTATGAGGGGAAAGTAAGTGTGAACAGATGAGGGTGTAAAACATTTTTTGATCACCTCAGTATATTAGAGCAGCATACACTGTACTGTGAGAAACTTTTGGTGCTAAGTAGTGTTTTGCAATAAGATGTTTGTGGTTGAAACGCCTATGATTGGGTGGTGCGTCGTTTATTTCAAGTTTTCTGATTGTAAAACCTGTAGATCAGGTTTACTATTTTATTTATTTTTTTTTTTTTTTAATTTAATATAATTAAATCTTCAGAGAGAGCCAGTGTTTAAAGATATACGATAAAGTTGTTGTGGTTTATGAATATCAGACGCTAACCAAAATACAACATGTTTAAAAATAAAAAAACGTTTAGCAGGTTCCCAGGCATTCTTCAGTGATGGGAGAGTTACGAAGAGTGCTTGTGTATATGTTGCTCTTATGTACATGACTTAAGTGTTTAAAACCTAAACATTTAATAGAGGCAAAAGTAAAAACATGTTTAGTTTAAAAATGAAAAGGTACGAAGTTATGAGGAAGGGGGGGATATAAACTAGATCCACTCTAATTTACTTAGATAAATAATACGTTCACATTGCAATACCAATCAGATAAATTTCCCTCCCCACTGGTACCTAAAGATGTTTTACTAATTTATCAAAAAGATTGTGGTGAGGCCGAGCACGATACAACTCCTTACATTGCAAATACAAAATAATTACTTGAGATAGGCATGTGTGGTTTATTTTATCTAGTTTTTTATTTATTTTTTTAGTATTTATATAGAATTCTATATATGAATGTATGCTCGTTTGGGAAGGGCCTTCAGTACCCTTGTTTCCTGTGTGTCCTGCTTGTCTTGTTGTAGTAACACGTCTGTTGGGCCCACTATTGTACAGTGTTACAGAATTTGTTGACCCTTTATAAAAAAAATATGTATTTTGTTGTGCAAGTGGCTCTAATGCATTCTGTTCGTATGAATGAGAAGTAGCAAGATGCTTTATTCAGTTGTAAACATCTTGCTTGAATGAGAATATGCAAAGCTCTGTATTTGCTGCTTGGGTGTTTTACCACTTCCTGTTCAAAAAGGAAATGTTGGGGTGGAGCAATCATTGGTGCTTTTTGTTCTTCTGGCAGTATGCAGAAAGTGTATTTTGTTTTTTGTTTTTTCTATTCTTGATACTTTATCAGATTAATGTATAACGTAGCCTGAAATCTCACTTTAACACCTGCACATATTGGTTACTCTGTATTCTTTATGAACATATGCTAATCCACTGCTGGTAAACCAAACCGGGATCATTTCTGAACTTTAAGGTCTGGATTGAGACTAGTGATGTCGCGAACGGTTCGCGGCGAACTCCGGTCAGCTGACGCAGACCCTCCTACTTCCTGGACAGCATCCATGTTGAAGCTGCCTTCAACATGGATGCTGTCCAGGAGGTGGGAGGGTCTGCCGGAGATTGGCAGGGATGTGTCAGCTGACCGGAGTTCGCCGCGAACCGTTCACGGCAAGTTCGCGAACGGTTCGCGACATCACTAATTGAGACACTCTGCGTTTTTTTTTTTGTTTTTTTTTATCTCATTGACCATTTTATTTATGGTCCATGACACAATTGTTGCCCCTTGTTTTGTAGGATACGTGTACGTGTGTGTGTGTGTGTGTGTTTGGAGTTTGGGAATAACTGTATGTCATTTCAAGGTGGAACAGGCTTGAAAACTAGAGAAATCTCAATGTATCTTTCCTGTTAAAGTATCTTATAAATAAACATGGTTTGGCATAATGCTGGAGTTGGCTTGTTACCAATGCATCTAGAATGTTTACTAGCCACCAACACCATCTGAATGAACCTTGAGGTAGGGAGGATTTTAAAAAGACTTCATTGGGGACAACAGCACCGAAAGTGCAGAATGGTCTCGAGATAAGCTCACACTTCTCCCTATATCTCCGCACTTAAAACTGTTTGAGGAGGTTGTCCATTTAATAACCATATCAACCTGTTACCACTGATGGCTCCCCTATTTACCACTATAACGTCTTAGAATTTAGCAGGGCTAACCATACAGATATCTTAGCTATAATATTTATATAATTAGTAAGAGTTCCCCTATTTAACATTTATAAATAATTGAAATATAATATAAAATAGGGATTGTCTTGGAAGCAGTAAAGTTTGGCCTTTCTAAATACTAAATAAAAATATAAATATAGACCTATAAAAACTTAATAATCCATGACAATAATCTATAGCAGAGTTTATAAGATTAAAGTATATGCTTGCAAAATCGGTAAAATAGAAAAACATGTACTCTTGAACATGTCAGCCTCAGTCATGATAAAATGGAGCAGCCTCTCTGTCTGTCAGTCTCTCCTCTGTGTCCTAATATTAATAGGTACACATATTTATACCTTAGATTTTCAATTGTCATATTAGGACCTACCTTAACTTGGCAAAGATACAAGGCCATTTCAGATGGGAACATCTTATCTATGTTTAGACTAAAACTTAAGGGTACACATGACATGGGAAATTCCCTGTCTTGGGGCATGTGACTATGGTGTTCAGATTTTAGGACGCCATATTGTCCTGGGTTAGTGGAATTCATCTCCTGGTACAAAGGGACCTGAATGAATCAGTTGTTGTGTGTTTTTTTTTTTTTTTGTTTGTTTTTAACATTTGCTTCACCATTGAGTTTGTTATGGTGTCCATTAATGGCATACTTCCCTTGTTTTATTTGCCATTTTATTTTATTTTTCATTCTCATGTTATCATGTATACTAGTTTTAAAATGTACCAATGTTTTAAAAGTTGTACCGCATGCCCCCATATATCTATAATGTTCCCTCCGAGCCTGCAACTTAATATATACCAATTTTTCGTTCTTGGTTTATACTACCTGCTTTTCTCCATTTCCTTAAAAATTTTTATTTTCTATAAAATGATTTTAAGCATAATGTCTCATTGTCAACCATTTCTACTGTCAAGCATGTACAATTTTATTGTCCAAATAAAAGAATGTAAAAAGAGTGCTTGGTTCCCCTTTACATTTAAGGGATATTGTTCTTGTTTCATTCGGATGGAGAGACATTTGGCTGGCACTGGGAGAGCTAGTGATATATTCCAGAAGAGACTAGATTTGGTAATAGATGTTATGCTGTGGCATCTATTAGGATTTCATGAATGACCCCGCTATCAAGTGGCAGGATACATATCCCATATACTGCTGCCTAGCAGGTGGTTTATCAGATATGCTCTGTACTTCCAGTAAGCAATGTGAGGCTGAGGAATGGCTGAGAATGCTCACTGTCCTTAACGAAAGCGGGTATCTGCCTTTTTAAGACTGGCTAGTCAGGGAGAGCAGAAGTTCTTTGCTAAACATCCCTAAGTTCTGGGAGTGGGCTGGTTCTGCAAGCCTTGTGCTAGATAAAGTGATATGTTGCTGGTCCGGTGTATGAGTGTTATATGACTGTGAGTGTTTGCATATGGAATGTGGGTGGTGCTGATTGCCCCCCTCTAGGAAATATTTGTCAACTGTAATTGATCTTGTTTGTTGTGTCCTGTGAGTGGTATTTAGGAAGAATGCATGCCAACTTAGAAGCATTTCTGATGTGCTGATTAATTGTTTTACACTAAGGCGTTAATTCAGCATGTGTACCCATTCAGTATCCATTGAAGTGCCAGATGGTTCCTAGTTATGTGCGGCTAGTGACGTGTCTTGGGTTCACTGTGATAAGCATATGTGACAGATGAGCATGAGAGATGTGGGAAGCTAGATATTATATGTCTATTCTTTTTCCACTAAAACTATGAATGTGTGATTCTCAAATTCACACATTCCTAGCCATGTTCTGTATATTTACTAATAATACTAATGGTTTTATTGTATATGTTTCCTCACAAATACTTATTCTGTTTGTGTGTGGTGTTGTCTCTCTTTGGTATTCAAATAGTTAAGACTTTTACCCTTATTTAAAAGGCGTGCATAGCCTTACTTCAAATTAATAAAGCCAGTCTTGTATTCTTGTTGAAAAGATCTAAAAATAAGCATAACACTTTGTAATAAATGGCTCACCTCTTCTCTGGCACTTGAATGTTAATATTGTGCTGCTATCAAAGGGGAAGATGCCTGTTCTTATGGTCTTCAGAATCTATACGATTTCTGAATGCTGGCATTGTGGCTTTTATTAAAGTATCAGTATTTTCTGTGGCACTGTACAGTAAGTACTTTAACCAAATGTAAGGATTGAAGACTGTATATGACATAATTAAACGAACTGATACAAAAGAAAAGACCAGCACTTTCAGACACAACCCCATTTTCTCACACTTTCTTCTCAATTCTTTACTCCCATTTTTTTCCCCCTCTTTCCTTCTCTTAAGCTGTCCTTCCTCACCTATTGCCTTATGTAGGGGATGCACTGCAGGTAGTTACAACAGTGTTTTATCTTCAATTCTACTGTATGCACTATATGTTTCATAACTCATTCCTGTACTGTAAGAACTGCATTCTTATTCCTGTTGTATAATTTACAGCTTTGGGTCAGCATTCTGGGGTCCCTGACTCACCGCTTATGCACACTTATGCTGTATACACAACTCTTGTTAACAGTGTTTTGTTCAAAAATATAAAATCACACTTGTTAGCTACCATTTACTGTCACTGTTTCTTGCTCTAAACCAGTTGCCTATGTTTTTCTTTGACAGCCTGTCTTGTTGGCAGAGGGTGGTGAGGGTTGTGCGAAGACGCCGCACACCCTCGTAAACAAAATGAATATCCCTGCTGTCACTTTTTCTAGCACTTTTCCATTGTACAGCCTGGCCAATCGGCAGAGTTTTATAAAATTTAAAAAATAGAGAAACCATTTTGTTGGCCTATCTTACTTGATGATCAAGCACTTTTCTTGCATTATGAGCTTGGAAAATAGTTATGGTCTTTGAAAGGAGAAATAACCTGTTAAATTCAAAATACCATACACATCTGTATTACGTCCTGCCATTGTACTTGTGACACTGTCCAGATACCATCTAACATTTTGAGGACACATTCCTTCATGCCTAAACATTAGAAATGTCACCTAGCAAGATTTATTTTTTTTCTTCCCCCCTGAAGAATTTTTTTTTTTTTTTAAAGCAACAAAAAAAGGAGAGAAGGAGGATCGTAAATAGATTTTGGTACCTCTCACCTTCTAGTGTTTTAATTCAGCGTAAAACATTTCTGAGATTGTCTAAAATTATATAACTGCATGAACAGTTTATATTGAGGTATGCTGTTAGGCTACTGGGCATCATTTCCAATAATTCTTTGTCAGCCACTCCGTCGCAGTCAGAAAGGACCAGTGGACCCGGTGGAAGATAAGACCAGATAAGGTGGGGATGGTGCTGAATAGGTCATCTGCCATTCTTTAAAATCTTCTCTGATTTAGAATGTGGTGTCCTTTAATTTACACGGTAGTAGGGGCTACTTAATGACCACTTCAGAGTCAAGAATGCAAAAGCAACTTACACCCTAAATGGTAGTGAATTAGGGATAACCACACACGAGAAGGATTTGGGATTTGTTGTAGACAACAAATTAGGCAGCAAAGTGCAATGTCAATCTGCAGTTTCTAAGGCCAGTAAGGTTTTGTCATGTATAAATAGGGGCATAAATTCTCGGGATGAAAATATAATTTTGCCTCTTTATAAATCGCTGGTAAGACCACACCTTGAATATGCTGTGCAATTTTGGGCGCCTGTTCTAAAGAAAGATATCATGGCACTGAAAAAGTCCAGAGACGAGCTACAAAATTGATAAAAAGGAATGGAGCATTTTAGTTATGAAGAAAGGTTTAAAAAAAAAAAAAAAAAAAATCTGTTTAGTTTTGAAAAACGGAGGGGATATGATAACATTATACAAATATATTCGGGGCCAGTACAAACAATTATCTGGAAATCTATTAATAAACAGGGCTATACATAGGACACAAGGTCACACATTTAGGCTGGAAGAAAGGAGATTTCATCTAAGGCAAAGAAAAGTGTTTTTTTTTGTTTTTTTTTGTGTGTGGTTTTTTTTGTTTTTTTTACAGCAAGAGCAATAAGGATATGGAATACTCTGCTTGAAGAGGTGGTTTTAACAGAATCCATACAGATGTTTAAACTGCAATTGGATAAAAACATAACATACAGAGATATAATTTCTAATTAGTGGGGTAATAGCTGCTTGATCCAAAGAGACACCTGACTGCTGTTTTGGGGTCAAGAAGTATTTTTTTCCTAGTTTGTTGCAAAATTGGAAGTGCTTCACACTAGGTTTTTTTTGCCTTCTTTTGGATCAACAGCAAAAACATATGTGAGGAAGGCTGTATTTGATGGACGCAAGTCTCTTTTCAGCTATGTAATACATTTTATTGGAAGGTACAGATTAATTTTTTTATTTTTTGAAATTATTATTATTTTGGTCACGTGGTTCTGTTTAAAAAGAATGGCTTGGAGATAACAATTCCTGATGGCCAGTTTCACTTAAAGGACAACTATAGTGCCAGCAAAACAAACTTGTTTTCCTGGCACTATAGGGTCTTTACGTGCCCCCCACCCTCAGGGTCCCACTCCCGCTAGGCTGAAGGGGTTAAACACTTACCTTTCTCCAGCGCTGGGGAACTCTCCTCCCTTTGCCGATGTCAGTGCCGAATGCGCATGCGCGGCAAGAGCCGTGAGCGCATTCAGCCTATAGGAAAGCATTTCTCAATGCTTTCCTATGGCCGTCAGTGTCTTCTCACTGTGATTTTCACAGTGAGAATCGCGGAAGAATCTCTAGCGGCTGTCAGTGAGACATTCACTAGAGGCTGGTTTAACCCTCTGAAACTGCTATGTTTACAGCTGCAGGATTAACACTAGATGGACCTGGCACCCAGACCACTTCATTGAGTTGAAGTGGTCTGGGTGCCTATAGTGGTCCTTTAAGGTGGGTTTACGTGTAGTGAGTGATTGGTGAATCAAAATTTTTTCTTGTTATATTCCCTTGACTGCTTTCTTCACAGGAGACATGCTTCGTGCTTTCCACGCTGCCTTTCGGAACTCTCCAGTCAATTCTAAAAACCAGCTAGTGAAGGTATGATGGTGTTTTGTTTTGTTTTTATTTAATAAAATTTGTTTATTTTTTCATTATTTTTCAATGTTAAGAAGTATCTCTATGGTAGCTAGTTGGAGACAGTGCTCCAGATCAGTCATTTGTGTCCTCAAGTTTGACTTGGAGTGCTTCATGCTGGGAAAATGCCTATTCACAGAAGTATGTGCTTCCAAAAAATAAGGTTCTTTTCGCAAGCATTCTTAAATTGACAAGTTTTCCATTTCCTACATGCATCTGATAGAATTCTAGGAGAGTCACTAAATTAAACTTGATTTTTCCGGTCTGAGTCACATTGAAGGTCAGTGCTTTCCATTTGGAGGTCCGCTGGAGTCCCCATTACATACATATTGATGGGGTTAGTTGTTCTTTTAGATTTGCGGCCACATTTTGAAGGGTCAAGCAGGCCTCCGAGACATGGGTTGAGCTTCCCTGTGTTATTAGAACAAAAGTTGCAACGTAGGTTAATACTTAATGTTTTCATGACTGTTCACTTATAACTGTGGTCACAAACTTCAATAGTTGAATATTGTTTTAGGAGGATCCTAACTTGAATCTGGGGAGATTACTTGACAGTGGCTCTGCAACATGTAATGATAAACCAAAAAAAATCTAAAATAAAAGGGATGCCACTCAAACTGATGCAACATGTATATCAATTGTTACTCAACACAGGCAAAGCATTAGAGGTGTATGTTCCTTTTTATACATCAATTATGCAGCAGTCCAACAAAATCAAATCCAAACCGCACTCACCTGATACTGAAAAATGCAGATGGATATTTGATGAAAAGTGATGATTTAAGACCATTTGATACAAAGCATAAAAAAGAACATGAAAGTGTGGACTATAAATATAAAAAGAAAATGTCATCACAGCTTGGAAAGGGAAAATAGTGGGGCAGAAACAAAAATCCAAAGACAGCTGGATGTGTTTCACATCTAAACTGACACTTCCTTAACAACCAACGTCATGTCTCTCTGGTTTCTGCAACTCCATTCCCTGGTGATTCCGAATGAAGTTGTTGGGAGATCTTTGATAGGTTTTCCAGTATCTTCATGCATTACGCTGCAAAGTGTGGGAAGCTGTCACTCAACTCCCACACACAGCAAAAACCCTCTGCTTGGTGGCAGTTAGATATCAAACTGCTTATTCAAAACATGTAAAAATATAAGGGGTGTTTTTATATACACATTAGCCATTGTAAAAGCAACCCTGGTGAGTCTGCCATGGACCCTCCAGACTTTCAGTGGTTAGTAACCTTTAAGCCTGGTTGGTGTGTATGTGTAGATCGCTTTGGCTTTAATTGTGTCTTTCTTTAGAAGAAAAATCTTAAATCTATTGGTGAGTAAAAGCAGAGATCACTGTAATGACATAAAATCATACAAAGTATGGTTTTATTTGCTGCTTGTAGGTGTGAACTTGGTAAATATTTGCACAGCCTGGTTTTCCTCACTCTTTACCAGACTTTACAGTGAGTTATTAACTATTTTATTCTTGCTCTGCAGGAACGAACTCAAGCAATTGTTCTCAAAGTTCTGACTTCATTCAAAAGTAATGAGATTGAACAGGCAGTAAAAACTATGGATCGAAATGGAATTGACCTGCTTATGAAATACATCTATAAGGGTTTTGAGAAACCTACAGAGAACAGCAGTGCCATATTGCTACAGTGGCATGAAAAGGTATGTGGGTGGTTAATAAGTCCATGGCAAGTTGGAGTAACTTAGCATTAAAAATAAGCCATAGAACACACCCAGCTCTCCTGGGAATTAGGTTATTCTGTTTGTTTATAAAAACAAGGCTGCACAATGACTGCTTTAAATGTTATTGCAATAAATTATAACTTTTCTATCTTGTGGAAGAACTTTTTTCGTGATTTTCCCCCGCCCTACCCCCTTATTATTTCTAATTTCTTTAGTCACTGCATCAACTGCCAGATTACGTAATTGTGCATGCATGTTGATTATTAATTAGCAAGCGTGCTATGAGCAGAAATTTGAAAGTGTGGCTGATTGGTGCCCATAAAGAGGCCATGTTCTCTAAGGTACCATTTCAGCCAACATATAGGTTTACCAGCATTGTGCTTGTTGATCTTTCCACCAGGCAAACACAACCGCTAAAGCAGAGGTCCGTGCAAGTTTTTAGCAAAAATATAAATACTTTCTTCCTTCAACTTTCTCACTGTCTTGACCATTTAGTGTACTTTCATTTGAGACTCTACATTGTTTGTGTATTCACTAAACAACAAATTGCATAATATTGAAGTGCAACATTTAAGCAACAGCCAAATGTGATTATAGAGCTGTTTCTCCCCCCCCCACCCCTTGGTAAATTTTAAAGTGTACCTTTCAATTAAAATTTGCTTTTTGGTGAATAACCCTCTTTAGTGAGTGATAAACCTAAAAGATGGTGGAGCAGATACCTGGAACCATTATTATTGTGAAGTGATGTTTACCTGAAACTCAATTCCTATACTACTCCAGCTCTCCCATTCCAATTAACTTGCTGTGATGGGTTGCATTTCGTTTAGTTCCAGTGGATCTTTCTTTAATTTTATGTGGTGTATCTGTAAAGAAAATACCTTTTAATTAAGCTTTTGTGGAGTCTTTAAAAATGTCGACCATTTCACACTGGACTGTTCTGATAACAATGCATTAGACTATCTTGAAATGTTAATAATAACTTTAGTACAGGCATAGAATGTCCCTTTTTTTTAAAAAAAATTGCGATTGGTAAATAAATTGAACATTCATACATGGTAGGACCTTAAAAGAGTTGAGTGTCTGTCACTGATCCTTTTGGTGGGTTCAAAAGAGAAATTGGTGAGCTAAGAGATAAAATGCATGTTTGGAAATTACTGTGGGGAGAGAGGAAGTGTAAGTGCATGCGATTTATTTAAACTATAAAACTAAATGAAACTGAAAACCTTGACCACTTGTGTTTTTGTTTCATTGAAATGGATCGTTTCTGCTCATTTTTTATTTTTATCGGAGGGGGAGGGCAGAAGTCCACATTATTTACATGACAGCAACACATTATTCATTGATAAAATTTGCAGTTTTTTTTTTTTTTTTTTTAGTTGTAATCCAGTATTTCTAACCGACATTATGTAAAACACTATTAGTGCTTTCCCAGTGCTAAAATTGTCATCTCCAATGTGGACAGTTGAATGGGCCTCACTAATGGGTGTCCTTCAGTCAGTGAATGACATGGGTGGGGCCTCACTAATGGGTGTCCTTCAGTCAGTGAATGGCATGGGTGGGGCCTCACTAGTGGGTGTCCTTCAGTCAGTGAATGGCAGGTGTGGGGCCTTACTAATAGGTGTCTTGTTTAGTTGGTTAGAACATTGTTTTATATCCTGATCAAAAACCATGAGAGCACATGATGGTTATTTCTCACGTGTGTTTTTGAGACAGTGCATATTATATTGGAATTATTTTTATTACGTTGGCCTTACCATGTGCTGTTTTTTTGTTTTTTTATTTCCCTGTCTCCCTGCAGGCATTAGGAATAGGAGGCCTTGGGTCCATAGTCCGGGTTCTCACCTCACGAAAAACTGTGTAAAAGACTGTATTAGCTCAATCCAGAAGTTTATGTTCCGGGCTCCAGCGCTGTGAAGGAAGAGTGGATGCAGAGCCACCCATCTGCAGAGTGCTATCTATTAAACTGTTTTGGAAAATTCACTTGGGAATGCTTCTTATTACGACTGTGGACGAGACATGAATGTATGTTTGTTTAATGGGGTATATTTTGTTTCAAGCACCAGTCCTCTTTAGCAGGAAAATGCTATGTTAACAGTATATATCATGAGGGATTTTAAAAGGGGGAGCAGAGAATTCATTGCACACGCCAAGGAACAATCAACAAAAGTGGTACAATGCATTAAAGGCTGCGATCGTTCCTGAAATGCAGTAGTCATTGCCATATTTAATAATCCCAATGCTAAATTATATCGACCCTCCTACGAAAGTAAAAAAATTAAGATTGAAAGGCTGAACGTAACTGCAAATTATTGCTTGAAAATAAAATGGTGGACTGGTGGCTTTTATTTTGTTAACATGTATATACAGGATTTTAGGAGTTCCCTGATTTTGGTCTTACTTGAAATATCTGTTTTAACCCCTTCCTCTGCCAAGGAGGCCATTAGTACATTGATCTTCAGTGTAGGGCTAGTCTCTCTGGCAGAGGAGGGAAGCGTACAATGGTTGGGGGGAATTAGGTATGTGTTTGTGGTGTCCAGCCTTTGTCTGTAAGTTAAACTTGCAGTATCACTGGGGCAGTTTGGTATTCTTCATCCTACCCAAGAGGAACGAAGATAAAGAACCATTCTCCTGCAGTGCCACTGCTCAACTGATACCTGTAAATTTTATTAAATTACAGCTTCCATGAGTGAAGTGATGAAATAATATTGTTTTATCTTTGCATTATTGTTTGAGACTTCTTTTATTGTTTGCCTTCTGTAGCAACATTGCATGTCCCCTGTTGGTCTCCATTTTTATTCCACTACCACCCACGCTGAAAATGGTTACACCATTTACCACCACTTTATGATTCCCCTGCCTAGAATCAGTGCGTTCTGTTGCAGTTCATGTCTCCAAATGCAGTTAGTTGGGGGGGGAAAGGTGCAATATAAACATTTATCCATAGTGCAGTGACATGGCTACCAAACTGCTGCTAGCATTCCCAATTGTCCCCAGACATGCAGTGTTGCTAAAGTGAAAGTAGAGGGGTGGGTAAGGTTGGATAGTTTTGTGGGGTATTCATGTAGAACTTTGCTATCCAACTTTGATATTATTTTTTTTTGGCTTGGCTGGGCCCCCTGCCGTTAACAGGGAACCCGCAGGCCAGCTGTCACCTGTTGGACAGCTTTCATGTAGATTATTCTAAAGATTGGTTAGTAGGCCAGTCTAATGTGACGTGGGCTTCAGGGGGGAAAGGTATACCTGTAAAGTGCCTGCTACATTAATAAATCTCTTGGATTACATGTGAAAACTTTTTTTCCTTTTTTTTTTTTAGTTAAAAGTAGAAACATTTGTGACTTTTTTTTTTTTTCTTCAAGTCTGTAGTATTTTAGATTTGTATGATATAAAGAAGCCAATTTGTGCTTACAAATGTATACTTTTACAGTCTACTGGGGTTGTTTAGAACACTTTTTAGAGCACTTTTTTTTTTTAGCAGGACAACTGCTAGAGGCAAGTAGATGTAGCAGACTTTACCATCTTGTACCTTATGGCCTTAATGATCACCTTGTATATGTGGTTGGAAAACCCCTTCTGGAATCTATGTAGTTAGGTGTACCTGAAAAGCAAATAATTCCCTGACTTGTAGCATTAGAACATCTCGCTTAATCCACTCAAAAGTCCAAATAGGATTATAGATTATCATGAGTAGCAGGTATCAAAATATGAAAATAGTCTTGCCATAATGAAGTTTGATCATAATAGTGTAGTTGACTAAAACTCCAATCCTAGTTCAGTAATTTTCTTCAGCCAGATCCATTGGTCTTAATTCTAATCTGAGTGAAGACCACCATGACTATCACATTGGGATAACCTAAATTGCAAACGATTAATGAAGTCTGTAACATTTACAGTTACAACATTTGTAATTGGTTATGAGGAGGTGGACACACATCTGATTACAAACCTTCTTTTCATGTGATTTCTGTTTTGATTATGGAAATGTATAATTTTATTCTGTAATGGAGATTGATATATTCATGCTAAACTATTAGAAATGCTGTACCAGTAATTAAACAGTAGTATGCCAATATATATTGTGATGGCATATGAGAACCATCTAGTCTGTCCATACATAAAACAAAGTCCCTATGATATTTCCAATTTAGTTTTCACAACCATTTATAATCCAGCACATCCAGTGTCATGTAAAACCACATACCTGTTTGTTGCTGTAAGTTTTCTTGTAATATTTATAGGTAAATCCCCCCCTCTTATATTGCAAACCGCTACGGAATATGTTTGCGCTATATAAATGGCAATAATAATGGGAAAGCATTATACACGCTTTACGGTGGGTGAAATACTACTGCTAGCACGGCCACTGATGTGCATTAGGTGTCCCCTGTCAGCAGGAAAGGCCACTTTGCAACTTTTTCTGAACACTATAGTTTCCCTTTAACAGAAGTGTGTGTATGTTTCTTACAAAGCTTTGAAGAAAGGAGATAGCGCTGGCAGAGGAAAAGGATTCCTTCCAGCAAGAACAGTAAATATATAGACTTCTGTCTTGATTGAAAAAGAAAAAGTCTGCTGGATTTTTTTTTTTTTTTTTTTTGACCGATCAATATATTAAGCAGTAGGATACTGTGGTTGAAGTCATTGCTTGGTCCTTATCCACATTATTTTTTATTTTTTTTTGGGTCATTGGCTAGTACAGCAACAATCTCACTGATTTGTTTTGTACTGTCCAAAGATGCATCGCTTACTGAGAAACATCAGAGAGCTGTGATTTCATGCGCTTCTGGCCCCTGAGACTTATCAATGAGAAGCATCTGATTGGTGTAAAAAGGGGAGAGCTTGCAAAGGCTGCAGCTTTGCAAACTTTTATTTTTTTTAATATACCTCCAAAACAAACATGCAGAAAAAAAGTGCAGGTTTTCTTTCGGGGCATATTTACTAAATTGTAAAAATAAAATTTGTTTTTAAAATGTAAATACATGGTTATCTCTGGTATGTAATACTAAATCAGGAAGAAAAAAAACTACACTAGAGAGCAAGGAAATAGTTATTGCAGTTGTATATTTTTAAAGCACATGCAAATTTTGTGTTGGAGTCAACAGCTTTGCTCGCACCATATATGATGCATTGACTAATGTTTTAATACCAGGGTCAATTTTTTTTTTTTTTTTAATAGATCTTCAACTCTTTGTAGTGCACATTGAATCACAAAGACTAAAGACAATTGCATGTTACTTTATAATAGGGTGGAACCTATAATCTTCCAACTATCTGTTTTTATACAGACATCCGCCATTTACACTAAAAGTACGTTACTCCTGTTAAATAACCACAAATCAAAACCTGTGCCGTTTCAGAGCTTACACACCAGCCTCTACGCCGTGCAGATGCTAATATCTGTGTGTGTTAGTTTGTGTTACTGAGTAACCACTTCTCCAGCTTACATTATGTGATGTCAAATGATGTCATAATGTAAATCTCACCAAGGCATTAATCATCAACAAATGTTAAGTGACCCAGCTGATACACCAGACATGTATAAAAAGTTAAGTGGAATGGAACCTGATTTTATGATGTGCAGTTCTGTTATATTGTTTCTAAACGAACTGCATACTGGTTGGGATCTCAAGTATAACATGCTACGAAGATCAAGAAATCTTTACATTATTTAAGCATTTTGTAGAACCAGCACCAAAATGTTTCTATCATTCAATTTTTTTATTTAACAGATGTATCATTTTCCATTACATCCTATGTAGTAGTCAAAACCATGAATAATCATTTGCAATTGAGATAATTAAAAGATTTGCTCCTCCTAAAATTTACTGTATCCTGTTTTACATAGTCCAACTCCTACCCAGATTATATAGATAGATTTTATATATATCGATCTATATCTCTCAAATACATATTGTAATACATTTTTTATTGGACTAACAGAATTTTGCAATGACAAGCTTTTGGGAGAACCTCCCTTTCTCAAGTCTCAGGCATTTCTGAGCAAAGCAGACACATGGAATTCAAAGTTGAGTTGTGATACAGGGGTTAAAGCGACACGAATACAGATGAGGCACTCATGTCACTTTAACCACCGTATCACAACCCCTTCTTTGAATTCCATGTGTCGTCTATGCTCAGAAATGCTTTAGACTTGAGAAAGGGAGGTCCTCCCGAAAGCTTGTCATAGCAAAATTTTTGTTAGTCCAATAAAAAAAGGGAATTACAAAATGTATCAGGGGTGTTTTTTTTTTTTATCAATTAAAATATACAAATAGTACTGCATCTAACGCGTTTCGTCCATACAAATTGGACTTCATCAGAGAAAATCTTGCAGTATACACAATATGTAAAATACAAAGCATGCATATTCCCCCCAACAGAGTCCCTTAAATATAACCAGTCCGTTTGTTGATTGGAGGATTCCTTCGTAGACAACACCTCTTCAATAAAGGGAATTTTTTCCAGGTGATCTCCACCTTCAAATTCGCGGCTAAAAACAGCTGATTATCCGTCCGTAAATGTTATGTGTTCCAAATCACAACTTCCGGTTGCGTTCCACATATGCATTTCCGGTAACGGGTAACAACGCACGTCACAGCCGCTGACGTTGCGTTCCAAGACCGGACCCATGCGTTGCGTTCAGCGGCTGTGACGTGAGTTGTTACCCGTTACCGGAAATGCATATGTGGAACGCAACCGGAAGTTGTGATTTGGAACGCATAACATTTACGGACGGATAATCAGCTGTTTTTAGCCGCGAATTTGAAGGTGGAGATCACATGGAAAAAATTCACTTTATTGAAGAGGTGTTGTCTACGAAGGAATCCTCCAATCAACAAACGGACTGGTTATATTTAAGGGACTCTGTTGGGGGTGGGAATATGCATGCTTTGTATTTTACATATTGTGTATACTGCAAGATTTTCTCTGATGAAGTCCAATTTGTATGGACGAAACGCGTTAGATGCAGTACTATTTGTATATTTTAATGATTTTTGATATAGGCGTATTAGAGCCTTTTACAATAAAAGGATTTTTTTATACTACACTGGCATACTCCCACTTCTTGGAAGACAGAGCAACCTATCCGTGGAGGGTGAATACTATTGCAGCCCTTTGAGGGCTTAAAGGCGCATTATTCATCATTATTTTTTATTCAGCTGTATCCCTATTTTGTCCATTCACATATCTGTATTTGAGGTTCGTTTGGGGGAAACCTCTTGGGAAGCTGTATTCATCTTATACAAAGTTAAGTACCTCTGCATATTCCTACCACTGAGTTGGTTAGGTGCATTTGTATTTTTTGTGTATGTATTTGCTCTTTTTCTTTTTATTCATTTATACTTTTCCCCCACTACTGATATCTGACATGATCTAGACCTAGAGAATGAGAACCCATTGCAAGCTGTGTATCCAAGCGATGTGACTTCATTCACCACAAACCAGTAGTGCCAGCTGGCAGTGATTAATTGTGGCGAATAACGTCACATCGTTTGTAAATACTATTTTGAGCTACTTCTTCATTCTCATGCAGCTCTGCGTGATGACCGGTGGTTGTGCTCTGGTTGGTAGCACACTAATTACACTTTAATTAGTGTCCTAAAGGATCATACATGAAAGATATTTAGTTTAATGCAAGGACAGTGTCTGAATGGAAATTGAGAAGTATCCAAAATGCTGCAGAGCTAGTATTAAAGGTAATCAATGTAAAGGTAAATAAATATCCTATTTTAAAAATGTATAGACAATGCACTAAAATATGCAAGTATAAAGTTACAATGAAAATTCTTAGTGCTACCCTACCTGTGCATATGGCAGTAGCAGGCAAAGCTCTCTCTAACCAGGAGGAGGTTCAACTATCAGAAGCCTCTCATTCTGGACTATGCAGGTCTGATTTTATTTCCCTCCATTTTGGGTTGGTTTACAGAAGAAGTAGCTTATCCTCTAGTGGCCTTGACTAGGAACAAAGGTCCTTCATGTTACACAAGATCTGTGGATAAGGGAAGGAACAATATAACCATCCAATTTTTTGGAATTACAAGCCATTTTCACGGCTCCTCTACACTTCAGAGGGAACAAGTGGTACTGAATTCGCTCGATAACAATGCTGCTGTATTCTATATCAATCATCAAGGTGGGGCACACAGCCACTTATTGATGAGGGAATCGCAGCCCATGACGATCAGGGCACAGAAGAATATCCAGGGTTTAACGGCAATCCACCTACCAGGGACTCAGAATACAGTGGCTGATTACCGAAACCAAGTAACAATGGACAAGGTAGAATGGCAACTATGTCACAAAGTATCCTTGAGGTTGACACAGATTTGAGGGATACCCCACATAGATCTGATGGCCAGTTCTTGAACTACCAGGTCCAGAAGTATTTTTCCAGATTTTATGACCAAAATGCTCAAGGTCAGGATACTCTGACTCAAATATGGAATTTCAGTCTGACCTATATTTCCTCCTGTTCCTCTAATTTCAACTTTCCTAAAGGAAATTCAAAAGGAGACAGTGGAAGGCCACGTGGGTCCTGGTTTCCTATGGCGAGACAGACCACAAGGGACCTTCCAGTCTGTCCAAACCTATTTTTACTTGGTCCTTTGACACCCCCAGATCCTCAAGTTCTGGGGTTGGTGGTCTGGAGATTGGGTATTTCTATAAGAATAGGCATCCCTGAGACGGTCATTAAGACCCTCTTAGAGTCCAATAAATACTCCACTTATTACAAAATTTGACATGCATTTGTCTGTTGGTCTCAAGAATAGAGGTTGGAATTACTCCTCAATCAGGTCTAGAAAAGGGTCTAAGGTATAACACTAGAGGTGCACATATCAGCACTTTCCACATTGACATGTATGTTACCTTTTTTTTTTTAGTTTATCCTTCCTCTCCAGAAGCACAGAACTGGCATTATTGTGGTTACAGCTCTCTTATCAATGCCATTCTCTACCTGTACCGAAGGGTAGCCACTCATGCAGTTGCAGCATCTTGGGCTTCTGTGGCAATGGTCTGACATTTTTGTAAAGCTGGCACTTGGACCTCTTTGAACGTTTATCTGGCATTACATACTGGACATTAAAGCAACCAATGAAGCGCAATTTGGACTTCAAGTTTTGAATTGTTCGGATTATTTGTGCTTAGCAGTTATTTATGCTTCCGTCCTTCCCTTTGTAGCTTGGGTCTTCCCATATTTATATGCTACCATGATTAGCCAGGAAAGTGGAAAATTTATTCATACTTTTCCTGGCTAGTATCAATGGCAGCATATACTACCCACCGATTAATATGTCTCTATTCATCTATTGTAGAGCTCGTCACTGAATGAGGACCTTAGGAATGGAGCTGCCTTTAAAAGTCTTTGGTGTTTTTCATGTCCTATTGACTGCAAGGGGTGAAGCTAACCCATTTGTAAATGCTGCCATGAATAATAGCCAGGGAAAGAAAATTACGGTAAGTATGAATACATTTCCCACTATGTTCATGAGTAGTTTGTGGTATTGTGTATACCTGTGTATTGGGGCCGCTTGTAGAATTGTGTGTTTGGATGATATATAATATTGTGTGTTTGTGTGGGACTGCTTGTGGGGTTGTGTGCATGTATGTGGATTATCAGTGGTGTTTGTGTTTGTGTATAGGCTGTTTATATTATTTGTATGAGGGGGAGGTTTCTTCTGCAGCTCTGTGTATATCTAGCAGTTTGGGTGGCTTTCCTGAGGTCTAGTGGGGACCAGGCTGGCCAAGTAAAGGTCAAGGGGAGGAACAGGAGATTTAATAAATGCTGCAGGCTGCTCTACTCCAGTGCGGATTCCCATTCATAAGTGCTGGGAGGAAGTGATTTAAGATCACTTCCTAGAAGTGCTGCAATGCATACATTGAGGATTGTCCCTCACTACCTGCAATTACCACTAGGGTTGCACTAGTAGATATCTGAAGTCCTAATGGGACTTCTGATAATCCAAAGCCTGTTAGGCTCTGGCAGCCTCAAGTGCTGTTCAAAAGCACTTTTAGTGCCATGCATGGCCCACGTACCATAGGTTGCTGACCCCTGTTCTAATCTAAGGCTAACACTTTACGTATTGTGTGTAAAGATACACATAAATCAGTATAAGTATGCAGCAATGAAATTCTTGTTAGTTACGTAGTTAATATTTAACATGCAATAACCTTTTGCATGGGCACACAGCAATACTGAGTTTCAGTATCAGCTTAAAAAACACAAATGTTATTTAATGTTATTACTGATGAAAATGTAATAATTCATAGTATTGAAAGGATGTTCTATTACTCAACTGCTGAACTTTAGAGATTATTCATTATCATTATTTATTTAGCACCAATCTATTCCGCAGCACTTTACAATTCTATAATGGTGATATCTGACAAGTAATTAACATACGGAATATAAAAGAGACAAGAGGAGAATAAGGCCCTGCTCAAACAAGTTTACAATCTATGAGGAATGGGTAAAGACACACAAGAGAAATAACAGCATGTCAGAGGGGGTAGGAATTGTTAGATAAGATG